GCTTCTTTCATTGTTAGCCTGCACTTGTATTCATTCTGACACATCACAAACATTACATGCGCGCCTTTTTCCCCGCCCATTATAAGTTAAGAGGAAGCCGGGCCATTTAGCTGTGCCTTGTATGGAGTAGTACCGAGCCTGCACGGCTGTGCCTGCACTCACCCCCCTTATGTGAGACATGAATTTTTTGCCGGTTCGGAAACAAATCTCGCGGGTGGAATTACGGCACCCGAGATTTTTTCCTTCTTTGTGTTTCCACACTTTCGGACGTGGTGCTCAAATTCTTCTTTTCTTGTCTCACCTGGTCTGCGGCCGACCCCGGAAGTAACTCGCCTGCTTTGTACGGGATAATGAAATGGGTACAGTGTTACGAGGAGAAGAGGCGGCACGCTTGCGGAGGATTGGGTCGCATCTATTCCTGATTGCCGAAAATTGGGACCATTTTTCTGCGCCCAAGATGACGGTTGGCGCGACGCAGGAGCAGGATGGGCATAATGGGCATAAAATATAGGTAGGCAACGGTCAGGCAGAAATGACTGACTGCCGAAGGGGTGATTGCAGAGGAGTTGAAATGAGGTTTGGACATGAGCGCAAGTGGTCTCTTGTGCCACCGTTCCCACCAATGGCATGATGTGTGCATGATGGACTGCCATTGGCGAGATCGCTTCCAGATGAGATTTCCACGAATCTGATCTGGCATCGCTACTTGATGCATTATCGATGGTGATAGGACTGCCCTGGCTCAAACCGCCGGCTCCCAGCGATTTGGCATCATGACCCCCAGCAGCCGAATTAATAAGTCGTTGCTATTTCTAGCTGCTTCCGTCAGGTGATTTGGTGGCGCACCCGTACCAGCGAATGGGCTGAACGCGGTGCATGACTAAGCACGTTCGTCAATGAACGTTGTCATGGCCTTTCGGAACATGTTGGGGCAAATATCCATCCAAAGTTGTCGTCGCATCAGGCCAGCTACACCGCATCTTCCCAGCTGGGCTGCCAGAGTTTTCTACGATGCGTGAAGCGAGATAGTTGCTCTCGATACAATAATTTTCAAATCCTCGGCCTATCTGACCCGCGCCAAACGGCACACCCAGGGCAGGGGTCATTGATCACGAGCGTCGGAGGTTACCTCGATCCAACGCCGATCCAACTGCCTCCGAGCCAACAGCCAATTCCAAGGCCGAGCGACCATTATACGGATATACATAGCAAGATTCCCCTCTCTACCGCACTCGCGTTATCGCAGCCATGGCTCATCTCCGAGCCGTGGCGCCGCTCTCCCGACTGGGACTGCGTGCCGCCGCTCAGCCAGCTGCATCGCTGCGCTTCTCTGCGCCTTTTCAGGCGCAACGCGCATTAGGGCAGCCTCAGTCCAGACTATCGCTCGCACCATTCGCCTATCGACAATACGCTGCCCTCTCGACCGCCCTCAACCTCCGACCTCGATTGAACTCGCCCGCCCTTGGTCGCCTCTTTGGCACCTCATCAAACGGCATCACCAGGAACCAGCTCGCCACCGCCGAAGAGTCCGCCAACAGGAACCCTGGTAACGCTAATGCGCAAAATGTATTCTACCAACTTTTGCTGCGCGCCAATATGCCTGGCATCCTCGTCGAGCGCTACCAGTCCGGCCGGTTCGGCACCAATGCCGCGACGGATGACGCTTTCAGAAAGGCGCTAGCGGCTTTGAACGCTGGTACCAACACTGCTACTGGCGCTGCGTCGGGTGTGACCCTTGGACGTCTTGGATACGACTCCGAGGCTGCCATTGCCAACGCTGCTGCTGGTCATGGTGGTCTCGGCAGCGCTACTGCTGGTGGCAAAGGTGAACCAATTCACGTCGTGGTGCAAGAGAGAACGCGCATGTTCATCTTTCGCTGGGTTCGCTTCGTTTTGACCTTTGCTCTTGTTACCTACCTCTCGTTTGTCGCCGTCACTGTTGTCATTGAGCAACTCAGCTCCTTCCGCCGCGCTGGTGGCAAGATTGACTCCGAGGTCAAGGCCGAAAACCAAACCACTCGATTCACAGATGTTCACGGGTGCGAAGAGGCCAAGGAAGAATTGCAGGAGGTTGTCGAGTTTCTCAAGAACCCTGAAAAGTTCTCCGATCTCGGTGCCAAACTTCCCAAGGGCGTTCTTCTTGTCGGCCCGCCCGGTACTGGCAAGACCCTTCTCGCCAGAGCTGTGGCCGGCGAAGCTGGTGTGCCATTCTTTTACATGTCTGGATCCGAGTTTGACGAAGTCTACGTCGGTGTCGGTGCTAAACGCGTTCGCGAGCTCTTTTCCGCCGCCAAGTCCAAGTCTCCTGCTATTGTCTTCATTGATGAGCTGGATGCGATTGGCGGAAAGCGTAATCCTCGCGACCAGGCCCACTCCAAGCAGACTCTGAACCAGCTCCTTACTGAATTGGATGGATTCGATCAAGATACCAAGATTATCATCATGGCCGCTACCAACTTGCCCAAGCTTCTCGACAAAGCGCTGACCCGACCAGGTCGATTCGATCGTCACATTGAGGTTGGCCTTCCCGACGTCCGCGGGCGTATTGCCATTTTGGAGCACCACGCGAAAAAAGTGAAGCTGTCGCCAGATGTCGATCTCAAGGCAGTTGCTGCTCGCTCTCCGGGCCGCTCTGGTGCCGAGCTGGAGAACATGCTCAACTTTGCCGCGCTTCATGCCAGTCGCGCCAAAGCCAGCATCATCTCCAGAGCCGATCTCGAGTGGGCTTTCGATCGTGTAAGTATGGGTGCTGATAAGAAGTCGATGGTCATTTCGGAAAAGGAAAAGGAAATGACTGCCTATCACGAGGCTGGTCACGCTATTGTGCAACTATTCGAAAAGGACAGCGACACCAAGCTGTACAAGGTGACGATTCTACCCAAGGGTGGAACGCTGGGCCACACCGCGCATGTCCCGACCATGGACAAGTACTCTACCACGGCCGCCGAGTACACTGCCCACATTCGCATGCTTCTCGGTGGCAAGATGGCTGAAGAGATGCGCTTTGGTGATGACAAGGTCACCTCGGGAGTTTCTAACGTGAGTTTTACCACGCTGTAAATTGCAAGGGCTGAATACTAACGGAGACTGCTAGGACTTGGCCCGCGCTACAGATTTGGGTTTCATGATGGTCGCGCAGTTTGGCATGTCGGATACCCTCGGCCCCATGGAGTACGGACGCCGCTACGAGAATCTAAGTTCGGAAACCAGAGCCATGATCGAGGGGGAGGTGCAGAAGAGTTTGAAGAAGTCGTACGAAGATGTACGGAAGCTTTTGACGGACAAGCGCAAAGAGCTGGATCTTTTAGCCCAAGCGCTGGTCAAGTACGAGACGCTGGACAAGGAAGAGGTGGAGCTGGTCATTCGTGGTGAGCCTCTGCCCGGTAAGCCAGTGCTTGCCCGCGGGCCCATGGTGATACCCGTTCCAACCGAGCCAAGCACCCCTCCTGGGCTGGGCGATGTGTCTCAACCCGAATCTGAATCACCGGCTCCTCCGGCTGCTGCAGACTGATAAGCACCGGGGGGGCGTTGGTGTTTCTTGTTTGACCTCTTGAGTTTGTATCCCCTTGTGGCGTGTATCAAGAGATTGAAAGGAGTGTGAAGCTGCACGCGACAGAGCCGAGAGGGGCAAAGGATTCCGTTTGTTATTGGAAAGGAAGAAGCATCACATTCGAATCATTTAGACGGGCTGCGAGTTGAAGCATTGTGCAGCAACTAGGGCTACGAGAAGGCTTTTGTACATTACCGATTGCGTGACAACCAAAATCAGCAAAAAGATATCAGCATAACCGCATCCAACAGGATAGCAATACATTTTCATTTTTGTTCACTATGCCGCTTGCGCATCGTGAAAGGTGCTGGGGACTAGAAGCGGAATGCACATCAACTGCGTGGGGTGTAGTTGAAGCGGCTGAGGAGATGATTTAAGACGGCCGTTGCCGGGTACTCCATTTCGTGGGTGAGATTGCATGAGATTGCATAGCAGAACATAGCAAAGCACTTTGAGCGGCAGCTCTCGCCACTGATCTCAGCGATGCCGCATCAGCCGGCCCTCAGCGTTTTCCGCTTCCGAGTTTCCGGTTCCTGGCGAGCAGACTGGATCCTCAACGGGGAACAAGCCCGGCAGATCGCTAATCTATCGTTTTTTTCTTTCCTTCGCAAACTTGTCCTATGAGTGTACGTCAGTCATTATTGGGATTGCCTCATTATTTTTCTTCCAACCTTTGTACTGCCCGTCGCATCCACTGGTTGTTCAAGCCGGAAACCTCGGCAAACTCGGCAACTTCTCACAAACACTTTCACATTAAATGACTGATTATTTTTTTTTTGTTCTGCGAAACGGATTGAAGAGTCATCTGAGTGAGTCACTTTGATGAGTTTTCAGGCAGGCAGCATGTTTTTTTATCGCCGAAAACTGCGGCGGGCTTGTGTGAGTCCGGCCGCGATGGATTGATTACACGTCGACGGCCGGACGGCAGGCAGACTAGGCGATGCCCGATTTGAAAAAGTCCTACTATGGCTGGGCAAGAACTTGTGATCCTGTGAGGGCACAGCAGAGTCGAACATAATCTTCTTGCTCCTCTTTCTTTTTGGACTGCGTTTTTACGTCAAAGTCCCTAACAAAGTGGTTTCGCTGAACCGCCCTCCCTTCTCTGGTTGTCTGCGCTCCTCGTCGTGAGTTGGCATGTCAACCACTCGTTATTATAGGCATCGACCAACAACTTGTAACTCATGCAGGTCGCCACGGCTAAAACGCATGCCTCTCTCTCTCTCTCTTTTGCATGCAGATACATGCACGGCGCAGAAACCCACGGCCTGTAAACTTGGGCTTCCGTCGCAAGCCAAGCTTACCCCCCGGGCTAAGCTTAGCAGGGGACTAGCGTCCCCAAACTATGAAAGATTGTAACGTGATGGAGCTCTTGATTGACGTCAGTCGTTATCCTTTCCTCTTACCTCCGTTGTTGGTGTGGGGGAGCGGGGAGCAGCCAGCGGCGATAGCACACCACGACGGGGAAGAGTGAGAGGTAGAGAGGGGAGGGAAGAGCTTCGGATGGCGGGGACTAGTTGTCTGTATTTTTAAACTGGTTCATGTCTGTTTTATAAACGACGCAATTCTATCCATCATTTCCCAACTCGCATCATTGTCAGACGACTTCAGTCCACAACACCTTGACAATGGCAGCTGAAACGATTCTACTGACTGGTAAGCCGAACCTCCCGCAATAGCTTCACACTATGCAAGACTCTCCCACCTCCCGGAGCTCTTCCAACAAGAAACCCTATTCTGACATTCATTCTTCAAACATCCAGGCGGCTCCGGCTTCATCGCCGCCCACATCCTCGAGTCCCTCCTCGCCGCCGGCCACACCGTCATCACCACCGTGCGCAACCAAGCCAAAGCCGACGCCATCACCGCTGCCTACCCCTCACAGTCCTCCTCCGACCACCTTCTCGTCGTCCCCGTCGGCGACATTGCCGACCCTACCGCCTTTGACCCCGTCCTCGCCGCGCACGGCGCGCGCCTCACCTCTGTCCTGCACACTGCCTCCCCCTTCCACTACAACTTCACCGACGCCCAGACCGAGCTCATCGACCCTGCCGTCAACGGCACCGTCGGCATCCTGCGCGGCATCGCCGCCCACGCGCCCCGCGTGCGCCGCGTCGTCGTCACCTCGTCCTTTGCCGCCATCCTCGACGCCGCCAAGGCCTGGGACCACGACACCCTGTACACCGAGGCGTCGTGGAACCCAAACACGGCGCAAGACGCCGCCGAGAACAAAATGGCCGGCTACCGCGTGTCCAAGACGCTCGCCGAGCGCGCGGCGTGGGACTTTGTCGAAAAGGAGAAGCCGCGCTTCGACCTGGTGACGGTCAACCCGCCGCTCGTCTTTGGGCCCGTCGCGCACCACATTCAGAGCGCAGACGCCATCAACACGTCGAATGAGCGCGTCGTCGAGCTGCTGCGGGGAAAGTGGAAGACGCAGCTGCCCGAGACGGGCACCATGGTGCTGTGGATCGACGTGCGCGATGTGGCGGCCGCGCACGTTCGCGCGCTCGAGCGTCCCGAGGCCGGCGGCAAGCGCTTGTTTGTCGTTGGCGGCAGATTTGACAACAGACAGGTCGCGGATATCGTGTACAAGCACTTTCCGGAGCGCCGCGACGCCGTGCCTGGCCCGGATGTCAAGGGCGGCGAGGCGCCGCCGGCAGAGAAGCTGTTCCGGATCGACAGCTCAGCAACCAACAAGCTGCTCGGTATCGAGTGGACGTCGCTGGAGAAGAGCATCACAGATCTGGTCGGCTCGCTCAAGGGACTGAGCGTCTAGTGTAATCTGCTGCGGACTTGTGGGTAGGCTTCATGTGCGTGGTCAGATTCATAGATGAATGCGAGATATTAAAATTTATATTTGGTTGTCCAATGGTATGTTGTGCCCCGTTTAATATAGTCTTGTATGTGCAAGGATCTTTCCTGTACTCGTTATATATGCATGTGTCGTCGCCCCATCGTTTACCTTTCAGAGTCCTCGCGTGATGCTGCAGTTCAGTAGGATCCTGCCATTCTCGCCAACTCCTGTTCTTCGAGGATAGGGCTGCGGCTCGTACGCCGCGTTGTCTGCTTCCGAGGCGCCAATTGCGCCGGCGCTTCTACACTCCCTGACACTACCCTGTTCTCTCCCCAGCTGCCGCGCATAGGTCCCGTCATAATCTTGGATTCTGAGCTCTGCCCACTCTCATTACTAGCTTGAGCGGACAGGTCATCCTCCTTTGGCGGAAATGCCAGTGCCACGCCGATTGCGTTGGGTGACACGTCCGGGCGCGACCGACTCCTGGAGTGCGCCGTTGCCATTCGGGCCGGTGTGGTCGGAAGCTCCCTATCGGGGGGCGGCCCAGGGTCGGCCAGTGACGATGTGTACGAAATCCTAGCAAATTGGCTCCGGGTTGGGCTCCCGTGGGGGGTTCCAACTCGATTCGCTGACTGTGGCGCCGAGGGTTGACGCTCCCCAGTGACGACCGCAGACATGGCGAACGCTGGACTAACGGCTGAGCCATATGGCGAATTAAGGTTTGCTCTTGACCCAGTGGGGAGGTGAAAACCTTGTCGTAGACGCGAACCGCCTCTCTCAACGAGCTGCTCCGATGATGATGAAGGCAGAAGGCGTCTCTCTTGGAGTCTCGGAGGTGGTGTAAGTGGTGCCCCATCACGCCCTACATAGGAGGGCGATGGGGCCATAACCGGAGAAGAGGGAGTGATGGGCGGCCCCAAGATCGGGCTCGGTTGATAGTTCTCTGTCGGTTCTGGTTCTCTGTTCTTTCTGCGATACCGACAGTGCCACAGGACAGCAATGATTGCGACCAGTATCGCACCGCTGACGGCTGCTGCGATAACAATCTTTGCTACTGTAGATAGTCCGCCCGATGCATCGTCTTTGGAAGCACCGGAGATGTTATTCGATAGCTGCGGATCTACTATGGATGTTATCGTGGGCGGTACAGCTTCGTTTCCAGTGGTGCTCGACATGGTAGTGCTTATAACTGTAGTGCTACTCGACCAGTCTGTGGTCCCAGTAGTGCTCTGCATAGTCGTCGAAGATGGCGTTGATTCTGTCGTTGAAGATGTGCTCTGCTGACTTGTCGAAGCTGTGCTCGTTGTGGTCGTCGAAGCTGTGCTATCCGTGGTCGTAGAAGCCGTGTTCTCTGTAGTCGTCGAGGCTTTGGTAGGAACTGGAGTCGTCTGGTAACTTGTAGGATAAACAATTGTTGGAAATATCACCGTCCTTGAACAGGATATATCACTGCTGGGCAGAAGTGTATTGGTACAAATATGCGTCGCAGGTGGTGGCCCAGGATCCTTGATTGGTCCAAAACCTAGGCTATTGCTTAATTTAGTACTGAACACAGGCAATGATATCTATGGAACAGGGAAACTCGAATTACCTTGCGCACACGTTGATTAAATGGTCGACATTTGCTATGTCAGCCCGTCAGTATCATCGATATGTGCTGTGACCTATAAAAAGATGGTGGCGGGAGAGCGGCTGCTTGTACTTACGGTCAAAGCCGGGCAGTGCAATATTATCGACGCCGCATAGTTGCGCATCGCAGCAGTACAACCCCAGTAGCATATCATACATTTGAGGCTGGTCGAGTTGCACGAGTGCCCTGCAAAAGACCACATACGTATCTTCATCGGGTGCAAGTAGCCGTCGGAGGCTGTCTCGGCAGCCTTTTACGCAACTCGGTGCATTTTGCACGTTGACAGCGATGGCGCCCCATGTGCTTCCAACGCATGCTTCCATAGCTAACTCGACGCTGGGTAGGTAAATATCGTGCAGATCCGTCTTCAACAGATGTCGCAGTCAACTCGTTTTGCTGAATGCAAGGCATGAGGTCTGCTGCAATATTATGGACAAAGAGGCTGACTGAAAGGTAATTGTATGGCGGACTTTGTGATGGATAAGCCAGGCCTCTGCTCTGACGCGATCGCAGCACAGGCACTCGGTTGAATGAAAGGATACGAGCTGGCTCGGTTATTGCGTCGCACCGCGTGTCGAGATGAACAATCTTTGTGTGTTCCACGACAGCAAAAAAAATTGTTGTAAAAGTTCCCTCCTACCCAACCCAAAAGAGAAGCGCAATGATGCTCGGGGTGCTTTGGCACGGTTTAACTCGGGGCGATGATGAGTGCGCGTGGCGTCGTGGATTGCTTTTTCCTAAACACGCAATTTCGAAAGCAGATAAAAGAGGCTTGTTCAAGTGACAGTGTTTGGGGAATAGGGACACAAAGATGAGTTGCGCTGGATCGAAGGGATAAGGCGTTACAGCGTCATACTGTGTACAATCCCTCGAGCGTTGGGTTTTCGGGGTGGCCCGCTGTTACGAGTTGCTGCGTAACGCATCCGTCCGAAGTTTCCAGACTCCAAGTTAGGGAGTAAGGGTAAACAGGGGCGATAGCAGGCTGAGATATAAGTGTCTTTAGAGGCTGGCGAGAGCACGGTGCAATTCTGCAACTGAGGCGCGGCAGAAACGGGCTGGGGTCATGACACGTTTCTATTTGTTCAAACCGGCTGTGCCGAAGCCTTGCTCTCATCACGTCAGGATCAGAATCAGTCAGTGTCCAGTGAAGCAGTATTACATTCGGCATCGTGACTGTCTCGGCGACTTTGCTTATTAGTCCGCCTCGCGTTGGTCGCCTCTTGGACGTGGGGCGTACGAATGACTGAAAGGCCCTGGTGTAAATCATTGGCTGACGAAGACCTCATAGAAGAAGGGCACTCGACGACAGAGTGCGGTTTAAGAGTATAGTTTTCGGCCCCCTTAATTTTCTGAATGAAAATGGGCGCACTTCTCACACACTTCTTACAAGACAGGTGAGAGGCGTGTCTGTGACGGGTCCACATTCGAAACATGGATTGCATCGTCTCACCCCGCCAAGGACCTGATGCAGGACACTCCTACAGCCTGCAGGATGGCGGTCTCGAAATCCGGCTTTGAATGAACTTGGCGAGTTTTTCACTGTCGTCGATAGGTCGAAAAAGTCTGGCTGATTGAGTATTCGCATTCAAACAAAGGAGAATTTGATTAATGCGTTGCGATTTTTTTTTCTTTTTCCGCGTCGGCACCAGGGCGAAGACGGAGGCCCGTCGATGCCTCTTTTGGTTGGCGGTAACCAAATAGCTGCGGATGCCAAGACCAGCTCGCATCCGGGGCAACGTCGTAATTAGGTAGTTACAGAGTCGCTGCTCATTCGTTGCCTGTCTTGCACAAGAGTTGGCAAAGTCGGGCTACATTTTGACGCAAGCAAACATGCCGAAAATCTAAAGCTCGATTCTCGATAGAGTTGATCGCATCGACTTCCGTTAGGCCACACGGGCCTGTCTCAGGCGCAATGGCTTGGAACATTGTTTCACTGCGCGATACGGCGCAAACTGGCTGCTCATGTAGACAGCTCTGTATCTGGCTGAGCGGGCAGATATGTGTGAGTTGCACCGCGGGACGCCCAGCGGAATGGCCGCGGCGTATTGGTAGGTGATGCGCAGATGCAAACCTTTCGAGCCAGGAGGAAAGGGTGTGGCTCGATTTTCCAGCTGCCGTGCCTAGAGCAGCCATTACTTGGCTCGATTCCGCAACTGTGGTTGGTCTCGGCCGGCTGTCGCAATCGATTTTATTGCATTTACGTTTGCAATGTTTCGGAAGCGTTCAGCGACAAAGAGCACAATGGCCACGTTTGGCCGATTGGAGCAGAACGTTGCATTCGGGCAACGGAATGTCAGAGTTGCGTGGTGCGAATGACGGCGGCCATGGTTAATAGGAAAAGCGAACGTGGGAGCTTGGTCGAAAGGCTATTTGACTCAGAATGAAACGAACAGATGGATGAAACAGTTGCATGAGGTCGGAATGCTTCACGTGCGAGCAATCAACGGTTCCTAGTGTTGTTGAAGGAAGCAAACAGTGGCAGGCTGGTAGAAGTCTGTGCCAACCCGGGCAGACTGGCTCTTGTGAGGTAGTGGGTGACGAGGCATGCGAGGGTCCATCAACTTATGTATATCTCGTTACCTCTTTTTGTTCCCCTTCTAAGTTGAATCTCGTTTGATTCCACTTTTCCGACAGTCATTCACAGCGTCGCATCAAGCCTAGCCAAGTTGGCCAATTCTGGCTGAATGTCCGTCCTGCAGCGCGGCGTTTTAGCGTCCAGGAACCGCCTACAACTTGTGTTGTTGGGCGGATGCAGGCCTGTGGACAGATTTTGGGAGTGTCAACCCCGCTGTTGCTGAAGCTAGCGTGCCTATCGCCCAATTACCCCAAGATTTGGGCTGTCCCGGACCTCGGCAGGTCAGGTTCGGAGTTTATCACGGCCCATTCCATCTAACGATGCATCACAACGATTAGAAAGCCGGCTTCCTGCATCTGTAGCCTCATGTCATCACGGCTGTGTACCACGCAATCATCCGCATTCACATCGCAATGGCTGATCAAGCACGGGATCGCATCGAGGCTCTAGGCAAGCAGCTCGGTCTGCCGCCCATCCAGCGCAAAGCCGGCCCTTCCAACGGACTTCGCCTCCAGGGCAAGGTCGCCATCATTACGGGTAAGGATAGACTGGTAGACTCGACACAATTCAAACAATTGTCATTGACATCTCCTATTCAGGCGCCAATTCACCTCTGGGCATCGGTCGCGCCACCGCTCACCAGTACGCTGAGAGTGGCGCCAGAGCCATCTATATTTGCGACTTTGACGGTACTCACCTTGAAAGCCACAAGAAACAAATCATCGCTGCCTATCCTTCGGTGGATGTTCATGTTCGCCAATTCGACGCTGGTGATGAGGCCAAGGTCAAGGCCGTTGTCGACGACGCCCTAGCCCAGTACAAGCGCCTCGACATCTTCTTTGCCAATGCCGGCATCATTGGCAAGTACGGCATGTTTACCGACTACACTGAAGAGGACTACATGGAAGTAATGAGGACGAATTCATGGAGGTGAGATACTTTACTGCGTGTTTCAATGAGCATCGAAATGCCAACATCCTTGCAGTGTCGTGGCTGCCGCCAAGCATGCCGCTCCGGCCATGCAAAAAACGTCTACAGAAAAGCCCGAGTCGAACGGTAGCATAATCGCGACCGCTTCCGTCGCTGGCATTCGCTCTAACGCGGGCACCACCCCCTATGCAGCTTCCAAGGCTGCCGTCATCAATACCGTCCAGACAGTCGCCTACCAGCTCACCGGCACCAACATCCGTATCAACGCCATTTGCCCTGGCATCATCGAGACTGGTATGACGGCGCCCGTATACGAGACCGCGCGAGCTCGTGGAACCGAGAAGAAGATTGGACAGATCAACCCTCTGAAGCGCGGCGCGCATGCTGACGAAGTTGCGCGTGTCGCCCTGTTCCTAGGCAGCGATGAATCGAGCTACGTTAACGGCCAGGCATGGGCTGTCGACGGTGGGCTGAGTGCTGGCCACCCATATGTTCTCGGAAAGCTGGCTTAGTTGCACCAAGTATATACTCACATTGGTTATTCAAGCTCTGGTGAAACCACGCATGTGACCGGAATGTTGTAATGATTGCTATGCTTTGTTCCACTCAGTTGCAATGTCTCGCCGTCATTACAGGCTGCCATCCGATCTTCTACAAGGTGTTTCCATTTTGTGTTGTCAGGTCTTTCCGGTATTAAATTGCCGCAGGATGTGTATCACAACAGCCAGATATATCATTTGTATTACTGGCATCTGGAGACATTACTGCGTGTCAATATCCATAGAACCCTGTGCAGCCAATAGCTTCTCAATCCTCGCCAGTTGCGTGTCCTTCCAGATTTTATAGTCTGCTCTTCGAGTCTCGCTGAGGAAATCATAACGATCTTGAAACATTGTATCGGCACGTCTCACGGCACCTTCCTGCGCGCCTTCATCACCTTCATCCGTATTCACATTGCCATCTCCAATGTTCTGAGCCACCTCATTGATCCCTCTGTACCAATCGCTATCCAACCACTCCGCTGCTTGTGCTGCCTCAACCATGGCATCAAAATCTTTGGCTTTGACATTGGTCCAACCGTCCCAGGCTCCGGCGTCTTCTGCGCCAACAAAGACGACCTCTTTGCGTGCCTTGCCGAGGATGCCCAAGATTTCTTTCCGAATGGGAGCATAGCTGTTGTTGTCAAAGGGGACCCCGTTTGTGATGGACTGAAATCGTATTGTGACGTGGTATATGACAGCAGCCAGCGCCTCTGTGATCTGGCCTTTAGCCCAGTCTTCCTCCATTTTTTGGCCTCCCGGGAATAAAATAGATTCTGTGCCTGCTAGTATAGTGGGTGCTAGCTTTTTGCTTCCAGTCTCGACACAAAAGAACCGAATGACTGGTGCCACCCAGGGTGGCAGACCTGTCCTTTGACTTTCACCATCGGTCCCAGCGGCCGCCTTCTTGCCTATGGGAGTTGTATTTTTGCGGAATTGACCTAAGCTCTGGTCTTTTGTTGGTGTCGCGCGCGACGGCAGAGGTCGCGATGGTGAGCTGGCTGTGCTTTCCTCGGCACCAAACTTGGCCACTGGCGTGCGAACACGGCCTGAGCTGCGTCGCGCGCCACTAGCAACCGCCGGTAAAATGTTGTCCAGGTGGGCATAGAGTCGTTTGTATATCCTAGGTGGTACAGGAGGACGAGGCTCGATAGGTGGTAGATCAAGCTGTATCTTTAAGCGATCGCACGCAATGTGCGCGCAAGCGTACAAGCGGGCAATTTCCTCTTCGGCCTTGAGGGTGCTTGCTTGATTTCTTGATTGCGCAAGCAGGGAGCCTGCGAGCTCCACAAGTGACGGTGGAAGATCAGTGCCATATGATGGCATCAGAGATATGAGCGCCAACTCAAGTTGTCTACTCATGGTGTTGATTGTGGCTGGTGAGTAAAGCGCAGTACCTGCGCGATCAAACGCGTCAAACGCGATTTCTGTCCCGACCCGAGGATGGGGACTCGTATGTGGACAGGCGCTCAGAGTAAGAGGTCAGGTTTTAGGGGTTTAACTTTCGAATACACAGTTTACTTCCTTAGCCTAGCTCTCCAAAATTGAAAAGTCAGTCAAATTGAAAGATCAAAGTGGCCTACGTGTCTAGGTACTCCCATTAATATGAGTCTTGGCTGATGCCTTTCTTGTGTGGGGCGGATCGAGACCGAAATCTGGAGCTTGGGCGACTTCAGTTTTTACAACGACGACGGTCATCGAGCATCAACAAACGTGCTATCGGTGCGGCAGGTTCCGTCATGTCGGCCATTTACAATCTCGAGCCTCAGCCCACGGCGTCTGCCATTATCCACACTACGCTTGGCGAGATTCAAGTCGAGCTGTTCGCGAAGCAGACACCATTGACCTGTCGCAACTTTCTTCAGCTCAGTCTCGACGGATACTACGACGGTACAATCTTCCATCGTTTAGTGCCCAATTTTATTCTACAGGGAGGCGATCCAACCGGTACTGGAAATGGTGGCGAATCGATTTACGACGGCGGCGCATTCGGCGGCGACCTGGACCCTTGGCCGATGGACCAGCGTCACGGCAAGAATGCTGGACCGACGGGCATCAACTTTAGGGATGAATTTCACTCGCGCCTCAAGTTCAATAGACGCGGACTACTAGCGATGGCAAATGAAGGCCATGTCGACACGAACGGGAGCCAGTTCTTCTTTACCCTCGACAAGACGGAGGAGCTGAATGGCAAGAACACACTCTTCGGCCGCGTGGCAGGCGATACTATTTACAATCTGGCCAAGATTGGCGAATCCGAGGTGGAGGAGGGCACAGACCGGCCAATGTACGCCGTCAAAATTGAGCGCATCGAGATCTTGGTAAATCCTTTCGAGGACATGGTAAAGCGTACACGCGTGGCTACGCATCAGCAGAAAAAGCCGGCAGAGAAGGACAAGAAGAAGAAGCGCAAAGCCGGAAAGCAACTTCTCAGTTTTGGGGACGAGGAGGGCGACGAAGAAGTCCCTTCGCTGCCAAAGAAGGCCAAGTTCGACACGCGAATAGTCATAGACGACGGTTCGGCCGAGGAAGCGCACCAAGAAAAATCTACAAAATCGAAAGCATCGAAGAAAGAAAAGACAATCACATCCAAGGTCAAGGACCATGGGGTCGAGCCGACATCAATACAGCCAGCCGTGCAACCCGCAAAACCAGAAGCAGCAGTTACACAAGACAGCGATGATGAGGCAGCAGTTGAGATTCCGGAGGTACCGAAGAAAACCGCCTTGCAAATAGCCAACGAGGAAATGGCTGCTATAAAAGCTTCCATGAGAAGGACTATACATGCTGTCAAAGACGAGGAGCCTCGAAAGAAGTCAACCTTGGCGTCAATGATTCCGGAAACGTCCATTCGAGGGGCGCGCAAGAGACGGGCGGGCGGTTCTAGCGCCATCACTCCGGATGATCAGGTTACTCTCAAACTCCTCAAGGGCTTCCAGTCACGGCTTGACAAAGCGCCACCAGGAAAGGAGCTGGTCAAAACTGGCGACGAGGACGGTGGCGGGTTCAAGGAGAGCCAAGCCGGAGACGATGAAGCAGAGCTCTGCGACCTACACTTTATCGCAAACTGCCAGAGCTGTACGTCATGGGATAAGCAAGAACAGGATGAGAGCGATGACGAAGGCTGGATGTCGCACACGCTGTCATTTGCTGCCGATAAACTCGGCAAGGATTTGAGGAATCGTAAGAAGGCAGAGGAAGAACTTGTTGTCATTGACCCTCGAAGCAAAGAGCAGTCAATGCGCGAGGAGAAGCGAGCAAAGAGAGATGCCCGACCAGGAGGATCCTCACGTACGTGGGATCAACGGCGGGACCAGGCCAAAAATGCTCGCATGTCTCAGGCAGCATCGCTGGCAGGTCGTGGCGCCAAATAATAGAGAGCATTTCAATGATACCATGATACCCCGTCGCATTGTGTCATGCTATTGTGAGGTTCCGCAATGCCTCGAGGTTGCTCACCAACTTCGTAATACCTCTGAGATGACAATGTGAAGCTTCAGACCTATTTCTACCAGTCCGCGCTGCGAGAGTCAAGAGAGCATACCTTATTGATACCTACTCCCCTATTGTACCGTGCTGACTTCTAACGCCCCAAAATGCCCACCGACCTCGGCGCAAGGCAGTGCATGATCTTGCAATCTTGTATGACGGGCAAAATATGTGACTCAAGGTGAAAAAAGTGTTCTTTCTGCCCACAACGCTGGTTGAAGAGATCTGGTAAAATCATCATTGGAGCCCCGCAAAGCAGAACAGTGCGAATTGGCAATGAAACTACGCCTCCGTAATTTTCAATAAACTGTCTCGACCCACGACGACAGCAACGTCATCTTGAACAGCCTTGTAGGTGGACGTCCCCCACTAAGAGTCACGTGCAGGCAGAGCGAGGCTCGACTTTTTGCGTATCGTGAGCCATCAGCAGAGGTCATGATTGGACAAATCTGGGGCTGCCTTGTCTACTGCCCGCTAATTTGGTGACATTTTTTGGTCCAACCTCTGGCTTTGCATGTCAACTTGAAGCGTTTTTGCCGGCTGCAGGACGAGATAGAGCCTCGGCGACAGACCTTTGACTCTTTCTGTTGCTCAGGTCTTGTACATTTTCGTTATTGCGACCCACTGCCACAATATATTCGAAAACGCGCCCTTTTATTGTGGCTGCAGTGCCAGATCTGTGAAAAGTTTCCAGAGCGGATCCCAGACGGATCGCACTGCGACTGCCAAACGGGCGGGACCTCCTTCTCTCGCGGTCTGGCTGCATCACAAATCGTCGATTGCGCTGTTTGATTTTTGCTGCGCACACGTCATCTGTTGACCGCTGCATGCCAACGTTCTTTTGACCTCTTGGTGGTGTGCAGAACGCGCTTTAACCCCCATCATACTCACACTCCAAACTACGGCACATCTTCGATGCGGTAAACTCGCGAACCTATATCCTTGACATCTAGCAATATTTATTACTGCCTCGTTGTCAATTTCTTCGACCACCTACTAGCTTAGCTATCCGACCACGCAACGCAAGCACCTCACAACAACAAAGACATCGATAGCAATAACCCCACAACCCGACACGGCCCTTCCTCTGCCAGCAGTTGTCAGCTTCGCCAGACAATGTCTGCACCAAACTCCAGAAAACGCGCAGCGCCTGGCGTGTCGCCGATTGTGCCGATGCAGCAAAATGTGCAGCAAGCATTCCCATCAGACGGCATGTCCGATGCGATGACGCGCTGGAGCGGTGCGGCTGACACCGCCGCTTTTCTCGACAATAATGTCTACGCTGCGAGCCCATATCCCAATGCCGGTCAGTTCCAGCAGCCCATTCCAGGGCCGTCCAACGCGGTGGCTCGCCGTCCGATGAACCAGTCTTTCTTGCCGACGAACGCGCGAGGCGCATACGACCCGAACGCAGATCCCTGGACTCCTTTTCCCGATGTCGAGGGCGCGCTGGTGCAGCACACCAACGGCGAGGGCAACCCGGAGGAGGAGAGCGTGGAGAAGCTGGAAGAGCTGGCAGCCAAAGCCAAGCGTGAGGCGCACGCCAAGCGCAAACAGATCCCACCATTTATACAGAAACTTAGCAGGTTCGTTTGTGCATCCCCACGTTCACATGTTGTTCTTCACTTTTAACGCGCGTACACAGCTTTTTGGAAGAGCGCAAAAATGAAGATCTCATCCGCTGGTCGGAGAGGGGCGACTCGTTTATAGTTTTCAACGAGGAGGAATTCGCCAAGAAGTTGATTCCCGAGCTCTTCAAACACAACAACTACGCCTCATTCGTTCGGCAACTCAACATGTATGGCTTCCATAAATGTGTTGGCCTGTCCGACAATTCCATGCGCGCCAGCGAGAGGAAGAATAAGAGTCCCAATGAGTACAAAAATCCTTATTTCCGAAGAGGACATCCCAACCTGCTATGGCTCATCAACAAACCCAAGGGCAAGAAAGAAGCGACAACTAAGAGTGCTTTCGGGCAAGGCGGCAGCGATGATGAGATTGCCAACGAGGAGAGCACCAACCAGCCCAGCCCGAACAACGCAAGTATCCCCGCCGGCCGCACATTGCCGTCAACAGAGAGCGCCGCTCCGCCCAAGAAAGAACTGTCTGTGATACACGAGGAGCTCCACAAGGTCCGGGAGAAGCAGAAACTGATTCTCGGAGCTATCAACGCCTTGCAGCGTAACAATAACGAGCTCTACAACCAGGCGCTACTGTTTCAAAATCAGCACGACCGACATCAGAACTCTATCAATGCCATACTTAACTTTCTCGCCAATGTCTTTCGTAAGACGCTCGAAGACCAGAGCGGGTCTGGCAATGTTACCGACATGATAAGTAGTATGCTGAATAGCCAGGGTCAGCAAGGACACGGGAGCGTGGTCGATCTCGGTGACCTTTTCCAGGCGCAGATGGATCCTTCAGGCTCTCTCGGAGGTGCCGCGAACAAGCGTACGCGAGGTTTGCTGCCGCCTATCCCGGACCAGCAGGCTTCTGCCCAGCAGAGCCCATCACCGTCTGTTTCCAACTACCAGTCTGGAGGTGTTCATAACCCCGAAATGGGCCATGTAACGGAGCTTCTAGACACGGACACGCCATCGCCTTCGCTGCGCCACGAGCTCGAGGCCAACCCGCAGGAGCGAATGATGAAGATTATAAACGACCATAACGCCACCAGCACCCCGACAGCACTGGATCCAGGAGCGGCCGAACTCGTAGCCAACGCGCCCAACACGCTGAATAACGACCAGCGCAGTCAGCTCGTCAACTTTATGGCCAACCAATCTTCACCCGGCTCATCCGCAACGCCGAACTCATCAGCACAGCTGCCTAGCCGGGCTCCCACATCGCAACGTCGCTCAACGTCCGCTACGCCACAGCCCGATGCGGCCACCAAGCCGTCGCCGCCGTCTCTGTCACCGATTATGCGATCGCCCATGATGCCCGCGCCGTCACTCAATCACATAAGCGCCAACCAGGAAGAGCTGGACCGCTTACAGCGCCTGCAAAACGATCAAGATGCCAAAATCAGTGAACTGGGCGAATTGCTCGGGCCGCTTAGCCCGTCGGGCCGCATCCCTGGTTTGGACGGGTCAGACGGCTTCTTTGACACAAATAACGTGGACCTGGACCAGTACCTTAACAACGATGCTTTTTTTCAGGACGGCAGCTTTGGCGACGGGACCGATTTCAACTTTAATCTGGACGCCGACGCCGCGGCCGCCGCCGCCGCGGCCGCTGCGGTCCAGCAGGGAAGAAACGACACTCCGAGCCCGACAGGGACAGAAGAGATTCTTCGCGATGACTTGAACAGTCCTACCAGAGATTCTAAGCGCCAGCGCACGACCTAGCCATGACGGTGAATGTCTCTTCTCGCGTGTTACTTTTCTTCTCTTTGCTTTTTACACTTTTAATACTTTGCGCACCCAGCGGGCGAGCTGTTACGTGGGAGGATCACGTTGTTTTAGAATGGTCTTGGGATGGATGATTTTGACAAAACAAGGTGTTTTGCTCGCAGAACAGGCGGGCGGATCATGGGTATTCTTGAAGTATCCGGTACAGGGACGGTGATGACGTGGCGACCAGGTAGCCTGCTATTATACAGTACACAAAAGCTATACCCCTCAATATGGCTCTACCGATCGTGGTTGTGAGGTCATGTGGCGTGCGTATTTCAGCATACTTGATGGACGGTCTTGAGAGCAGCCATCTCTTTCAGGTGCCCCCATGACTGCTCGGCGGTTGTAGCTCGGACATTTGCCGTGTAACTCCGTGCGGTTTCGTTCATCATCCTGCATCGGGTGTTGAGCTTGAGCGCCAGTAGTCGCAGCTTCATCTTCGTAGCCTTGAGCTAATGGGGGAATACCATTTCGTTCTCTTTCATTTTCGTGTGGTCTGAAACGCCTGTCGCATTCAGTCCGCCAGCGGGTTCGCATGGACCGTCACGCGCTCAATACAAAACGGGGTCTTCGGGCGGTTCTTCTTGTCCACCTCGACCGCCTCCATCTTCGCCAACGTCGCGAGCCCGTCGTCGCCAATCACCCGGCCAAATACGGTGTTGAGGCCGTCGAGGTGCGGCGCGCGGTCGAGCAGGATAAAGAACTGAGATCCGTTGGTGCCCGGGCCCTTGTTGGCCATGGACACGATGCCGCGGTCGGCGTGCCGCAGAGCCGGGCGTATCTCGTCGGCGAAGACGCCGCCCCAGATGGACCGTCCGCCCTTGGGGTTATCGGGGGGCGAGGGCACGGCAGGAGCGCCGGTCTGGATCATGAATTGCGGGATGAGGCGGTGAAAGGGCGATTGGTCGTAGTAGCCGGACGCGCAGAGGGCGAGAAAGTTCTGCGCAGAAAAGTTGAGTGATGCGACCGCGTGGAGGGGGCGCGTTTGGGAACGGGGTGGAAAGAGGAAGAAAGGACGTACGTACCTCGGCGGTTTTGGGCACGCTCTCGCAAAACACTTCGATTTTGAGGTCGCCGAGAGATGTGTGCAGTGTGACGGACATTGCGCCGGCCAATGGTGCAGAGGCAGAGTTTGGAGGGTCGTGGAAGTGGTGCTAACTTGAGGTCGTGGTTTGCTTGTGTGTACACCGTTGGGCGGCCATTCTCCACTGCGCAGCGCAGGTCGATTTACAGCAATTAGATCATGGAGAAAGTCAAGGGCTTGGGGGTGATATTTCGAGGTCTCGACTTCTGTGCTAGCTTGCTCGTTTTTTTCTTCCTTTTTTTTCCCTCTCACTTGTTCATTTGGACACTTTGTTGTAGCGCTTGTGATATGACCCATACTTGTATCCGCGCAAAGACGGTACTAAGGCGTTGGCATGCGCGGCTACCTATTATTAGATGTTGCAATGAATATTTACAAGGCGTCGCCCTATATTTACTTTCATTTGTGTAAGCGAGGGTTCGCCATTTGATACCCGGTCCTGTATGATACTGGGATTGTTGCAATTGGGGTCCCATTTCGAGCCCCAGCAGTCGGCCCGTTGGCTACCTCAAGTTGCTCATCAAGTCTGCCTTGTGTGAGACAGCCAGCGGAGGAGCAAGGCTACCTACCTATGAATGGCTTGCAGTGGGAGGGGTCGAATCCTTTGAAGCCATTTGCCAGCCAGCAGCCTGTAAATGACGATGAAGATGTCGGTAAAGCTGTCAGTTAGTTGGTTGGGTAGCAATGGCTCTGTATCCGTATGGAGTAGGTAGGTAAATCATCCATGCTCTGGCTTGCCGGGACAGTTTCCGTGTGACGGGTGTCTGCTTTTGCTGGGCGATCGTTGTGGGACAAGCTGTGCCTTTTGCGCGTGTTGATGCTGTTGACAGCATGCTCTGGTGTGTGTGTGTGCAGAGTTCCCCGCCAAACAAGCGTCAGGGCGTTTCCGTTCTAGATGTGCGGTCTTGTTTATCCTTGTCGTTGAATCGCATCTCTCTCACACACACCGACCAACTTGCTGAAAGCCAGACTCTAGCCTTTAATTCCTTGCGCTTTTTGGGCGCTTCCTCCAACGTTCCAACGGCCCTCTCCGCTGCGTCAGTCAGCCTGACTTCTAGCTGGACACGCGCTACGAGGCCCGATCCGGCAGCCCTGGATAGCCAAGACAGCCTACCTAGGTAGGTAGCACAGGCTTTCGAGACACGGCACGTTGGCCTTTGAAATCCAGCCAAACGAAGAGGAAAGTAAAGAAGATCAATTTGCTGCGGTTTTTTACAGGTGAGTTGGTGGACTACTGACACCAGCGGCCAATGCCTGGACGCAGCTTCTGTCAATACCTACCCCCCAAGAAGGGCCGCTAATAATCGCCTTTCCCAGCTTGACGCCAGCCTCACCTGTCGCTTCTCCAACGCTCTGCCCTATCTTGCCTCCTCTTCCGTGCACATCACCGACCTCTATCCTCTTTCGCTCGATATACCTCACCATCTACTTCTCCACGTCGTCCTCCACCAGGCCATGGTCCCGCGCGCACGACTTTGCCAAATTTAGCTCCATTCTCCATCCGATCTAGGACTCTTTCCTTGGCTTCCGGTGCCAACTGCCAGCCCCCGGTCCAAAGCTTGCGTCGTCGTCCGCAGAGCTCAGCCTCCCCTCGATTAAAGAAGCACCCTACCTATAGCAAGCCTGTGAGAACATACATAAGCTATCAGGAGCGCCACTCTTGTCTTGCAGCACACGCCGCTCACTGCCCCTCTGCGCCCGAGTCGTGGTGGACGCCCGTATGACGCCATGGCAACCACTCAGGCGAGTGTGAGGGTTACCGGGCCTCCTAATAGCAGCTTTCTCGTGGGGTATCCGGGAATTTCTGCGACCTTGGTAAGTAATCCATTTCGAATCTGGCCTTCTGTCTGCCCAGTGCTGACATGGGACCTCTGTGAGCTTAGCCCCGCGTCGAAGGCAAGGTCGAAATCCGCCCTGCCCAGGGCTTCTCCATGCCCGTCCCGATTTCCCTCGTCCGAATATCATTATTGCGCCGCGAAACCATACACCCCGATGCCGATAATCTTGCCAAGCGACATTTAGGCACGGCCCGAAAGGAGATTACCGACGTGGTCGGCAAAGAGGTGCTCCTTTTTCGCTGCTCCTCGGGCAAAGAGGCGGAGAGCGTCGTGGCCATGGATCTTCCATTTGTGCTCTTCATCCCTTTTGGCAAAGGTGGCGAGGAAGTAAACCGCCGAATACCGCCCGCGTCGCTACAGCTCCCAAATAGGACAGCCGAGACTTATTACGAAATCACCGTTACTGTGCAGCAGGGCTACAGCCATCAGTACAAATATACATTACCCATGCCATTACAACGTTACGACACTCTCTCTACATTTGGCATGTACAACATGCCCGAATCGAAACTCGTCAGCTCGAGTGACCTCGTGCATATGGGCATGACCTTACCGAAAGGGAGCTACGGGCCGGGCGACCCCATTACCGTCTATATAAAATTGTCCCCCAACCTGGACTGGGCGGCCAAGGCCAAAAAGGTCACCATTGATAAAATCACATTGACGGTGGAGGAAGAAATTACATTTAATCCCGAAGGAGACGAACCAACAAGGAAGATCAAAGCAGTGGCCAAGCAGACCCAGACCGTCAAGACAAGGATGCCCGAGGCCGGCTACGCCACCAACATCGGCCTGTGCTTCCCGTGCAATAACTTGCGTGACGCCGACGGGTTCATCAAGAGAGGAAAGCCGGCCTTTCCCTTGTATGAGGTTTCCACTTTTACAACACAATCATCACTCTACAAGATTGAGTTTTTCCTCCATATCAAGGTATGTGAGCCCGTGGGAGGCTGATGACGATTGTTCCTGTCTAACTTGACATGTGCAGGTACAATTAAGCGGCGCACGCGATATTATGATTCGACAACCCATTGTCATATGCCCTCTGGATCAGCAAGCCTGCAAAGAGGAAATGGACGCGATTGAGCAGGCGGCCAAGGATGCTTCCCACGTCAACCCCAACAACCCCATGCTACCGGCAGGCACCATTATTCTTGCCAGCGATCGTGACTCGATTCGGGCTCTCGGTCTATGCACCGTCGGCGGACAGAACAAGCCCTTTATCGAATAGCCCGCAGATGTACTTTTCTTATAATGTTTTGCGTCTGCGTGGTTCAGACAGCGTCCAGTTGGGTAAAGTACCCCCGTACATATACATGACTTATATTTGACCTCGTTACGAAATTCTACTTGGCGAACAGCGTTTGGATCGGGCATTGGGTAACGGCGTTTGCGGCACATGTGCTTTGGCTCTATTATATCGACGAGAATGTTAACTCTAGTGGTTGATATTGGCATTCAGGTGGCGTGGTTGGATCATTGTCGCAACGAAACATGTTGCAAAGGCTGCATGTGCGCCTACCTAGCGGCTAGCACGCTTCCAAATAATAAAAATGTCACGAAATGAAACGGGCATGTTTTACGATTTAGAAAAACATCATCTTGATAGTGAAAGGGGGAATGCAGAGCTTCTGCAGACCGAAGCTCCTGAGCGTACATCCCGTAAGCGGCGGGCAAGCACCTCGTTGTTATTGAAGTCTTGGACACCTCAAGCAGCTACCCGACTATTCGCGGTCAAGTTAAGGTGTTTGCAGAACCGTTGCCGTGCAGGCACAGAAGTACGTCTCCCCTCACACAACGGACGACAGAAGATGCAATTGCTAGGCGTGTCACCAGAGTCGACCCTCCTTCTCGAGATTGACCAGACATCAATAAGAAGCTCGAGCTCGTGTGGATCGAAACGACATCGTTTTTTGCCAGTCAGCTTACAGTTTCACGCGCGTGCGTAAGTTTGACAGTAATATCCAAGAAGTAATGAAGGCCGTAACCTAGAGCTCCACGATACTTTTCAGCATTTGCTATACTACAGAGGTACCAACCAAGGTCGTACGTTTGGCAAAGAGCTCTCGTGCAAACAGCACTTCTCTTGATAGTAACCACGATAATAATGATAGCCACGACATCGAGTTAGGAATAATATCTAGACAGCACCGACAGCACTAACAACAGCGCGCCCGTTGGGACAACAGCCTGATGGCGCCAACGACATGAATGAGCAGGGCCTCTTGCTACACGAAGATTCTGTTCCAAGAGAGAATATTAAAAAAAAAAGAAAGAAAAAAAAAGAAAATGAAAAAGAAACATTGTGACGCAAAAATGAAATCACTTTCCATACATAAAGCAGAGAGAGAGAAGAGCATTAAAAAAATGGCCAAAAAAACATGCGAGCCGTAGGGATCGAACCTACGCGGGCGATGCCCATTGCGGTTTTGGATATTCTTATCGTCTCTCCAAGGAGAAACAGTTTGTCCTAAACACAACGCCTTAACCACTCGGCCAGACTCGCGATTGTTAAAAAGATGGGCTCTTATTGATTACTATACAGCTTTCTGATTTGGGATGAGCTATCGCAGCGTAACGACTCGAGTCCACTTTTCGGTTTTGCCTGGTGAAGTGACTCTTGAAGCCTCAGTGCTGGGACGCCATTCTTTCTACAAAACATTTTATTCTGATCTTTATAAGAATCTGACGCGTCAGGAATTCCCGCAATACCCTTTATTCCAGACCCCAGGATTTGGTATTGATTCGACCGAGTCAGGCTTGGTGGTACATATCAAAAAACCTTTAGCCTCAGCAGGCACGTCAAAGGCGCTATTATACCACGGATCATCACGAGTGACACGCTCTCGAGGACCAAGGCAAAGAGCAAAGAACAGTGCAATGTCTTTTGATGACGACGACAACCCGGCCATCGTTGCGAGACCGCCCAGCGCCGGTGGTGCTGATGGCGCCGCGGCGGCTGAGGAGGCAATGGAAGATGAGATGCCCGACTACAAACTGTTCATGAGTATGTTTGACAAGAGGGGCATCTCAAGCAAGTCAATTCGCAAGGGCGAGAAGGACTTTGAATCACATGGAACCCGCGCGCAAGACGGTGTGCTGGAGACGAGCCGCCGCGCGCTCGAGGACGTGCTCAGCTACACGCGCATTCATCGGGGCGACGGATGGGTTCGCGGATGGTACGTGCCCGACTTTTGGAGTGAAGATGGCACAGATCCAGTTGGTCTTCTGAACCCCAAGCAGGATGACGGGCGTTTGATGCTGAGAGATCGCGTCGTCGTCGTGGAGCACGAGCGCGGGAGCTGGATGAAGGACATTGGACGGTCTGTGCCGGCGGGCATCAACAGCACGGAAGCGCAAAAGCCTGGCGTAGGGAGACTGTGGCTACTGCCGGAGGAGGCGCTACACATGGTCGAGCGTGGCACGCTGGACCTCTGGTGGCCGTACAGGGACCTCGGCGAACTGCTGGGCCCAGGCGAAGCCAGCGGGCCGGATGATTACGACGTGGGCATGCCCGTGAGCCTGGAAGCGGCATACTCGCTACTTTTGGGCGAGGACGGAGAACGAGGAAAGATCTCGCTGCCTAGGTACCAAGTGTTTACGCATCTGAAACGAGGAGGTTTTCATGTGCTGCGTGCACCGGGGGAGCAGAGTGATGCTCGCTCCGCCGACACGGCACAAACAATGTCGAACACGGCTGGAGCAGCACTGCTTCAATGGCTACTCACATTAGTGGGATGGGGCCGTGATGTGCAGCAGCAGCAGCAAACAGAGCCCAAGAAGCACTCCTTTGGACCACTGGTATCACCCGGCCTCTACCGTGCGTACACGCCCGTGTACGAACAGCTCAGTCTGCTCCCACGACATAGGCCACAGCGGCGCCTCACTTTTACGCATCAAGAGGACAATGTGTCGTCGCCGTCGTCGTCGCCGCGGAGCCCTTACGAGGTCTTCTTCCATGTGTGGAAGTCTGGCGGCGCGCCCTTTTCCAAGCGGAGCCCGCCCACGCCCAACTTTCGCATCGCCGTGTCCGACACTGACCTGCACAGCCTGCCCACGCTGGAGGAAATGTCGGCGCTGCTCGAGTCGACGCCCCTGGACGAGCCCAGCAGCAACGCGGCGTGGAAGGGCCCCGGGAGGCTGTACCAGCGGCTCAAGCACGGCCACCGCAACGTGCTGGTGGCGGTGGTGGACCGCGGGCTGGTCAACTACATGCGGTTTGGCGAGGGCGCGTTTGGCGAGGAGAGGCTCTACGAGAGGCTGGACGCTGCCAGGCGAGGGGCCAGAGGCGGCGGCGGCGGCGCTGGCGGGAAGAGGGGTGGAGGGAGAGGAAGGGGGCGTGGTGGCAGAGGGCGGGGAAGAGGACGGTAAGGGGATTCTGCATCTTTTTTTTCTGTGCTCGTGTTAATAGATTGCACAGTTGATTGTATTATTGGTTTCATAGAGTTGAAGAAGCGTGATTTCGGATTCCACAAATCAAAGGGACGCAAGCTACACTACACATGCGGCAACACCCTGACGGCTAGCTCTCCACCCTGAGAAGATGTCTAGATTGATGAATCAGTCTCTCGGGATAATCATACACCCTATGTGATTGTATGGCCATGAATGAACACGCAAACAACATGTAGGCTTGCACAGAAAAACCTTTAGGGGCTGGAGCGGTCACTGTGTCGCCGCCGTGTGTTGCAAAACCCCCCCGTCTACGGGAAACACAAATTCATGGCCTCCGTCTTGTCTGCAGTAGCCCGGCATTGATTTGAAAGTTTCGTGAGGCTGGCAAGTTTTGGGTGTATCGTGCAAGGTGGCAGCCTACAGGCCCCGTTGGTCCGGCTGGAGAACACGTAGGACGCCCATCCCACGAAAGGGTTGATGCAGTGCTTGAAGGGAAACACTGGCAGAAAGAAGAAAATAGCGGAAAGATTGCTCAAAGTCCAGAATAGTGCATTGACGCAGTGCTATCTGGGGGTCGAGAAATAGGGCGCGTTTGATACACAACTGCCAGCGTGGTAGGTAGCAAACGGGTCGCGTTCGCAAGAACAGACAATACTCGCAATGTAGGCATGGCTCATGGCAAATCAGGCCATGACACCAAATCATGTTCCTCTTTCCAATCTGTTTATTCCACTGCGATTTTCTCTTTTCGAATGCCGTGTCTGCTATTCGTCCGTGACGCGATGGATGTAGACCGCCACAACATGAGAAGCTGACTCCCAAGATTACTTGTTGGTATCACTCACTAAGCGCCAGAGATAAAAACAGGCACTCTTCACACGAATTGCAGATCTAATCCACGGGCCGGGATACGGGCGGTGAGTAGCGCCCTCTTCATTGGACGCTCGGGAGCGCGCAACACGATTGGTGCCCGGACGCAGGCCTCGCTGTCACACATGCGGCCACCACGCGCACGCTAGTTTGCGAAAACTCCCCTTTTATGAGCCCAACGCCTGTTTGATCCAATGCGTTATACTTGCTAGACTGAGAGATGTGTGTCGTTGGGCCCTATTTTCAAGGGTGTCGGCGTGTAAAGGGCATATGTGTTGAGTTGAAGCTTTGGTTATGGCTCTGTCTGGTTTCCTGTTACAATTTGTTCCTCGATGTAGATGAGCCGCAGAGCTTTTTTTCCTACCGACAAAGAACAAGGTCTCTTGAAACACCATTCCTCGAAAAACACGGCCATTTGCGCGTAAATTGGCCCAAGAGCAGCGCTATCTCTTGTACGGCGAACAGGGCATGATCCCAAGCATCTTGCCACAATTTGACACCACGACTCAAAGTTGGATATTCCAGCATCTCACCTCGAGTAGATTAGGTGGGAGAGACTGTCATCACTGTTGATCGTTTTATTTTTAGTTTTTACGATTTCTGACGCTGCTAAAATCTCAGTCTGCCACTGCGCCTCAGCCACGCAAAGGCACTTTCTGTGACACATCAAGCCAGTTCGAGACATGCAACCCTATGTCGCACACGTATGCACATGAAAGCGGACTATGCCAAACTCGTACTCGGAATTTTCGTTGCGTGTGTGAATATACTTGCTCACTGATTGATAATTTGAGCCGACAAGACCGAGCAGTAGTTATCCACACAAAGATCTGATTTTGTGTTGCGCAGCCAGACAAGTAGCTAATGAGTGGTGACGAGGACTCTGTAAATGGAGGACATGATGTGGCCGTGGGCGGGCCAATGTACAAGGTGAGTTGAGCGTTTGGATGGATGTCGGGCCATTGCATTACTAAAACCTTGCTTGTGGTCAGCCTCCCACTTGATAAAAATCTGCAAGTAGGGAGGCACCCGGGGGACAAAACAGACCGCCGATGAGCCTCAACACCTGCCATAAGGACCGTCACTCACCTCACTAGACTAGGGGTTTAGAATTATAAGATAAATACTAATAAGTTCCTTAGCTACTAAAGTATAAATACATTAGTCTAAATATTACATCTCGGATAATATACCAAGATGATTACTGCTAGACGAAGTGAGCCTTCTGGGCTCGATGCGCGGTCTGTTTTGTCCCCCGAGGGGGAGGGAGTTGATGCAATCTGCCGAAGGATCAGACCGGCAGATGGATTGTCCTGTCTTACTCTTGCATCCTGCCCAACAGCAACAAAATGCCGCTTATATGCAAGCCGGAGGCTCGGAAGCTGCCAGATGACGTGAATTGATACAGACAATTAATACAGGCGGAAGCAAAGATTCTTTTATCGGAGATGGTGGCCACAGTTTACTGAGAGATGGTGTCTCACAACTCTTTTTTTGCGTGGGCAATCAATTGCATGCACGGGCTTCGGGCGGATGTGCCGTGTTGGCTAGACCGCGTTGCACGGAGCAAGGGTTTGGGACGACGGGACCGTGCAGGAGTAACTATCAGTATGCACTTGGTGGTGTTGCCCTAAAAGCTTGTGATGATTGATGGCATGCGTGATGCATAAAAGGGCGGAGTGTATCAAGCCACCGACCGACCTTTTGCAGGGAACCGCCAGCCAAATGCTGGTGCATGCATGCATAGATTTGGGGGGTTCAGAACGACAAGATGGCGCGAAAAGTCTCTAAAGAAACGAAATAGTTTTGGTGCGAGGCTGCTGAACAAGAACGCGCGTTGCCAAGCTGGGGTTGGCCCATGGTAATCAATGACGGGACGGAATAGCCAAGTTGAGCAAAGGAACGAAATGGTCTCATGCCCCAGTTCCAATCTTTCAGCTCGAGCCAGGCAATGCAGGGGACGCCACTTCTTCGCCGCAGAGCACATGGCTGACGAGGAACTTGCCATGAATCAGTCACGTCTTTCCTTTTCACCCAACCAAGCCGTCTTTGAGCTCTCTCGCCTTGAGATGGATATGATTGGCTCTAATAAAAAGACGGACGCTCGACTGTCCAACTTTGAACCGAAACACACAACATCGGCAATAGCACACCGCATAGTTGCCAGCTTTTGTGTGTGCGCGGTGTAGCGAAGCACGACCGACAACCTTCTTTTTTTTTTTTTTTTTCTTTTCAAACGAATCCAGGTTGCAGCCACGGTCGCGAAAATCAGCCAGTCACAGGAGCTGCATCGAACAAGTCAGCAAGAAAGGAATGAGCGCCGGCGGCGGTGCTGCCCATATTGGGGGTTGTAGTGAGAAGAAAGAAGAAGAGGCTGAAATTCAGCCCGTTTGCCAGCTGGGTCAACATCGGATGAGATGAAAGCTTTTCGGCCGAATTGACCAAAAAGGACGAGAAGGTAAAAAGATGCAGGGTGGTAATTATTTATGTGGTCCCAAGGTTTGGCAAGCAAAGGCGCTCGCAGGACAGGGTCAAATCACAATTGTGCTTGATTCTCGAGAGGCAGTCCATGCAGTATTTAGTTGCATCTGATCATTTTCGTCCAGATCGTCCACGGTAATCTTACGCTTGTCTGTACCTTTTTTTTTTTTTTTTTTTTTTTTTTTAGTGTGAGTAGAGGCTCGCTGGTAGGACGCCGGCCATGATCAACAAACGGGACAACTATTCCGTATTCGACGCTAGAGTTATCAGAATTGCGGGATGGCCTCGGATGGACCCGGGTCGGAAATGCAGGCTTCTGGTGACCACTGACAGGTAGCAGGATCAGACGGCTCTTATTTTTTCTTTCTTTCTTTTCCGTTTCTTGGACCTTGTCAAGCTGATCAACTTTTTGGGGGGTTCCGGCCGTAATTACAAAGTACATTTTGGCGAATAGTCTTGCTATTGCATTTTATTGAAACCCCGGCCAATCAACTTGCGACGGCTCGGCTTGACCGAACAGGGGGTGCAACTTTTCTTGCCTTGATGACTTGATGTTGAGCAAATAATGTCTTGTCTTGCCCGGGGGGGGGGGGGGGTCATAAGTAGACAGGTAGCCAGCCAGATACCTATGAGTGATGATGGTGGTGTCCGTTGTGCGTGGTTGCGCATCGTCTGTACAAAACAAACTAGCGCAAGCTTTTGTGCTTTTGCCATGCAGGGAATCTAGTTAGTGTGCTAGTCTATTTCAGTAGCGCATCTGTGAATGGTGCGGATATACAAAGCTCAAGTGTACTTGTGTGGGACAGGCTCGTTCGTTTACGCGGCGCTGCTCGTTGTCCGAGACGTTGATTGCAGACACCCAGCAGCCTGCTCATTCGTATTTAGCTATATGAAACAGTGTCTTTTATGACTGGCAGACTTGTCAGCAGTGATGATTCGCACTGGATTCTCCAGATTTTTAGTCGCTCCCCATGTAGGAACGAACATCCCTACAACGAATCTGACTACACTTTTCTTAACGACTTGACCGCAGTCTCTGATGTCTGATATTGTCCATCGATTTCAATTCGCACCAACTCCTGTAGCGTTGCCTCTGCCATCAAGCCTTTTCAAAAGCTCATAATATATCAGACTTTTCTCTGCGTTGTGGTGCGTCGGCGCGCCACAGCGACAATATGCGTGTACGGTGTACTTGAGTTGAGCCCACAAAACCCTTGTCAACTGTTGTTATTATTCGCAAACACGCTGAGAGGCATCATCATCAAACACAATCGGGCATCTCAATTTGGAACAACTTGTCGAGTTGGCCTGGCAAGTTGGCTCCTCGAAAGACGGGCGAATCTTTAGACCCTTCCCGGATGAGCAAGTAGATTTACTGTAATCATCTTTTCGGGCTGGCCATCTTTCTAGTTAGTCGTATCGAGAGGAGGTACTTATTATTCAATCAAGCCTTGTGTTTCTTGGGCCGCCCCGCTCAGGCGCCACACAGTCAGTCACTTGCCTGTCTTGTCTGGGCCACGTTGGGCCCTTTTGGTTTCATTTGGCTTTTCCACCGCCATCATTACAAGGTATTCACTAACTAAATCGCAATAGAAGCAGAAGCAGGAGACAAATTCAATTTATTTATAGACGAATAGAGAAAAAAAAAATCGTGTTACTTGAGCAAATCGAGTTGTACATTGTAGGGCCCATTTTCAACTCGCACAAAGCTTTTATAATAACACGATTTGCTTTGGGGCCAGAAGTTGTCCCAGCCCAGCCAGCCATCTCCCTCCCTCTCCCCTCCGTGTTGTGGTGGCGCACCAATGAGTGGTTGCTCGGTTTCGTCCCGTGTTCCGTCCTCCATCCTCCTCCATCATTCATGTAGTTATAGGAGTGAGTACGTATTATGTATTATTAGTCCTTTTGCGGATTTCTGGCCTTGTCTTCTTCGCACTGTTGAACCCTCCTCCTTTCTTGCCAACTTGATCTCTTTTAACCCCCCCCCCCCCTCTCCCAACCCAACCCCCGAAGCTGAAATAATAGTATTTCATTTTTCGGGTGCATCGGAGACTTTTTATTCCTGTCTCGCTTGGCGTCTTTGACCATTTCATTCCGTCACTTCATGCAGCCCTTGTTCCTCCTTGGTGCTTCACACTTGCACAATCATTCTTCCATAGCGGGCCAGGACATCTTACTATTTTATCAGTCTCATATCACGCCACACGAGCCTGCACCCTGCCACAGCTGGCACTGCAGCAAAAGTCGTGGTTCTTGTTCACGTGTCTCTTGAACGACCCCATCGCCAGTATTCTTTCTTTTGCTGTCGCCCAGGATTGTGACCAAACGCGCTCGGCCTTTGCCTTGCCTTTTGCCTTGCCTTTGCCTTGCATTTCGGGGTAAACAGTGCTTTTACTCGTATTAATCAGTCAGGCTTTGGCGACACCTCTTTACCTTGGAACCGACGTCGGACTAGTGCAAGATGGCCGACGTGGTCGTTCCAGACATCATCATGACTTCTCGCCCAGCGACAGCGCCCATACCACCGCCGACAGAAACTTCATTTCGCCCAGCAGAGACGCAATCAACAGCAGTACCTACCGGCGAGCCTCTAGCAGATGACACTGTCACGCAACCGCCGGTGCCATCAGAGGCAGACCGCATGCCAACTCCGATATCTGATGAGCCTGGCGTGGAAACCCGACCAGTGTGAGTACCAACTTTTTTTGCTTGCTTGAAAATTCATTCATTCGCGCACTTTTCTTTCCTCTCCTTTTGTCTTGTTTTCCATCATCATCATCATCATCACCATCATCTCTTCACCATCGTCAATCAACCCTTCTTGGTTGTGTCGCGGCTGCAAACAAAAGTCAGTCTGCCTGGCGGAGAAGCAAATCTCGTGACTCCAAGCTGCTACTCAGCCCAAGACAAACCTGTGGCACCACGAGAGACCCCGTCAACCACACACCGCTGGCTACGCAGCTGCACCTTTCCCGTCTCTGCATCATTTCAAACCTTTTCTTCATCTATACACCCTTTCTGCAGCCCGAATGCTCTTTTGACGCCACCCGGATTAATGAAACACGGTCACGCCTTACAAACCTGTTTTATGTAACGTGAGTTCTTGTCAATCGTGCTGGTGACTCTGCATCTTGCTTGCACAGCATCAACAGCTTTTTTTATCTCTCTCTTGTTGATGAGTTGTGGTTCCCCAACACATTTTCCATTTTTCATTCATTTAAACACACCGGCCACTTCATACTTGCGCCCCTGGTTGAGCTTCATGACCTTCTTCTGTCACTCTTGAGTTGACTGCCTAGATCCTACAAGCAAACAAATCGCCCTCGTTGAATACTTGACACCTGATATTCAAGACGGCACAAGCTGTGCTGTTCAATCAAACCTCTCAACTGCGACTTCAGCGGCTTTTGTGGCAGCGCCGTCTCATCTGACTCGGTCAAGACTGCTCTTGTGCATGACAAGTTCTAAGCCTAGTGGCTTACTTACAAACCCCTTACCCTGCTTGGTTACCATTTCAAAAATGTCTTTCCTTCCAAGCCAGCCCACTACTACGCGATTCGAGTTCCCTAGCATTGCAGATTTATGCTCAAACAGCCCGCCGCAAACGATTCCTGCAGAAGCGCCACTTCCGGTCCCTGCACAGATTTGGCAAGATCCGTTGACTAATGTGATTTGTAGCCCGATGGCTGAACGACCAGCTGCTCTGGACAATGAGCAAGAGAGTGAGCTCAGCGACCCTGACAGCACTGTCAAGACACCGCCACGCGGAAATGAATTGGAGGAAGAAATTGTCGTCAGGGCCAAGGATATCATCATCACAACGCACCCCGACGGTGACGGCGACGAGGCCATGGCCGAGGCCGATGAAGAGGGCACAACCTCTCACTATCCGAAAAGAAAGCGCACGTCAATCTTCAACGATCTCAGTGAAAGCAAGATTGAAATTCCCACATCCATCCGCGCCGAGCGGCCTGAGCGCACAGCTCTACCCAGCACATCAAGCAAGGCCAAGCCCCGAAACAGCATCGGCGGCGTCAAGGGAGTACTGGTCGGCCACTGGAGAGACTCGCCCGTTCCCGACATTGAAAACAAGCATGCCGTCATTGGCTTCATCGACGTCCGCGACAGATTACGCACCCGTATCCAGCCTCTCAACAAAGCCGGCGAGCCCATCTCGGCTGAATACCCGCTTCCACCCGGCCCTGGCGGCAGCTGGGTCACGTTTGACCGCATTTACTTTTCCGACTTTCTCGTCGGCCTCGACCATTTCCAAGTAAAAGAGTACGTCCGGCTACGATCCGCCGCCGTCGAGGACAGCGACGAGGAGCGGCTCGCCGCGGAAGCGGAAGCCGTCAGAGCAGCAATCATCAGAGGACGAGAGCTCCTGCAGACCGAAAATCCAGTCGTGGCTCCGCTGATGGCCCACGGTGCCATCCCGGTCGACGCCAATGGCAACCCAATGGTGATTGACGCCAAGCGACGAAGAACTAGCAACTCCTTTGTCTCCATCGCGCCGCACGAGGATGCCGCCGGCGGTCCGCAACCACTCGCGCTCGACCCCTTGCACGGCACGCGCCCGACGCGAGTCGTGCTCGGCTACTGGAAGCTCTCCAGCGAGGAGCTCCCAGAGGACCGCCACGCCGTCTACGGCATCCTGGGCCAAAACGACATGTTCCGGGTCAAGGTGGTCCGCGAGACGCGCGACGGCCGCTACGTCGACGGCAACTTTCCCACGGGCGCCGGCGCGCTCTGGATCCACTGGGACGAGGTCGAGTTTGAGCCGCATATCAGGGTGCTTAGCCGGCCCGAGATCAAGGAGTACTGCCGCATCCGCCAGTACCAAATCGACCGCGGCGAGACAATCAGCCAGCGGGCCGCCAACGAGGCCGCCGCCATCGAAGAGGCCCGCCTCCGCACCACCGCCTACCTCCATGCGCACCACCTGCAGGGCGCAAAGGGCGGCCACGCGCAGCGCGGCAGCAGCAGCAGCCCCGGCGATGTCGACCGTCCGGACTCGCCCAGCGGCGGCAGCGGCGGCCGTGTCTCGGGCGGCCACGAGCTGCGCCAGCTGCGTCGCGCCGCCGATGCAAAGTCTGACAACAACAACAGCAGCAACGCGCGAGGCGCTCGC